ACAACAGGACCTGATTAAGAACTGAGTTTCTTCATGCATTTTGGAGAATAAGCAGAAGGTTGGTAGGTGAAGTGGGGGAGAAAAGATAGCCACTATTGTAGGTGATCTCTACCATCCTCAGGAGGGATGGATTTGGTAAGACTTCAGAAAGAAAAATCGGACTTTAGAAACTTGTGTTTCAACAGCACACACTGAGCCAGAAAACAGCCCTGGGTGTTTAGTGCATGCTGGATGCTGTTTTGGGTTCTTAGGGAGACCACAATGAATAAGGCGCAAAATGCAAAGGCCAAATGATGCACAAAAGGCCTGATAATGCTGTGGTTTTGATCCCAAATCATTTCTGTTCATTTTCAAAATTTTAATGCTAGACTTCTTTGGGTGGAGGGTGAGGTAGATTTTTTATTCTTTTTTTTTTTAATCTGTCTTCAAACCTATTTAGAGAAGTCTTATGAATGTTGTCTTTATTCTTGGTCATCTTTTTGAGGTTTGAGACATGAGGATGATGGGAGATGTCATTCTGTAAATATGTTTCTTGTACTGGTTAATGGATAAAGCACTGTTGGCCAATAGGAAAGAAAGATAGGTAGGACTAGGAGACAAGGAGGAAAGAGGAAGTAGTAGGGAGGAGATCCAAGATGGAGGACGGGTGGAGAAGAATGCCAGCTCCTCTCTCCGGTAAGATGAGACCACATGGAAGTACTTAGATTAATAGAAAATGTTAATCATTAAGACAGAGCTAGCCGATAAGAAACATTAGAAGCAGGCCAACAGCTGTATATCTAATACAGCATCTCTGTGTGTTATTTGGGGCTTGTGTGGCAGTGGGACCTGACCGGCAGGGAAAAACCCTACTTAAACATGATGATGATAAAATCTTGCCAAGGCTCTGGCCCCTCGTGTACATCTTCTCTTAACCCCTGAGATTGTACAGACAGCAGCGTAGACATTGGGTAGCACCCTTCTCAATCTAGCAGTAGATGATGGTCATACCAAAAATCAAGATAGCAACTGTGAGCCAAGCTGCTAGATGTTGATGTTGACTGAACCAGTTCCTGGAGGCCAAAGAGGGGAGCAGGAATGGCCCATGCATACAGACAGAAGGCTGTCTCTGTCTGCTTGGGAAGAAAGTGCTCACAAATTTATTCTATGGAGAAGCAAGCTCCCGTCGTCTGTGACAACGCTGTGCATAGTGCTGCTCCGTGAACAGAAGACAGAAGTAGCTGGTGGAATGTCATTAGATGTATTTGAACATGTGAGAGTGAATTACTTAAGTTCCCATTACCAGCAGACTCAAAGGTTAGGAAGGTCACCGGCTCGTTCACCTGAACATTACTTATCCTGACCCAAAACCCATGAGAGTCATTCGGAAAGAACAAAGCTCCCATCACCACTTACTGCTTCTTTCTTAAAGCCCTATTTTAATTCTACGAAGTCTCATCTCAGAAATGTTGCAATTAAGGCTTTCATAAGACACATTTAATACTGTTTAAGTACATAATGGCTGCTAGTGTTCCATGTCATAAACCAACTAAAACGGGCTTTAATCTCTTCTGAACCTATGCTGCCTTACTTAACCCTAAGGTATGGTGCTGTCAGGCCAACTTATTAGTCACACAAAAGTCATTATCATGGCTTTATTATAAATTCACCTTATTAGTGAGAAATATTAACCTGGCTAATCATGCACCATAGTCCATGGGCTCTATCACTATTTTTTAAATACGCAAAAACTTCTGAAAGATGCTAACTCAAAGGATGTCTTAAAAATGGGCTAGATGTGGTGGCTGCATTTGTAAGCAGGGAGTACTGTATACTCTCCCAGGTCACTAAGTAGGGGCAACTGCACGACTTGTCATGTGACCTGTAATCACGGGTAACAACTTTGATTGGAGGGAGCAGTTGGAGTTGGGAGGGAGAAATGACTTTGCAAACAGTTTCTGTGGCTTGTGCAGCCTCACTGAAGAACTCGGGGAAGCCTGTCCTACCTGAGGGCCTTGGAATTGGGTTTGATAAAGTAAGAAATGAAGTCCTAGTCCTTGGGTCTAGCCTTATGCCAGCATTTGCCTAACTAGTGTCTTCCTCACCCCACCCTTGGCTATATGACGACACTGTTTCTAAAAGCAGGTAATGGAATCTAATTCCCCAAGCAACTGAATCCCTGAACTAGCTATTGTTGCTCTGGTGTCTTTCCTTGTAACCATAGTGGATTAGAGCCAAGGGGACCTTAATTAGATTGTCGCATCCATTTTTCCAGGCAAAGGAGCACATTGAAGTGGCTGAAGGTAAAGTAGAGACCTTCAGACATGGAGCTCTTGAATCAGTCTGTCCTAGCTCCCTTTTGGTTGCTTTGATAAAACACCCTGGCCAAAGAAACATGCTGAAGGCAAGGGTTTATTTGCCTGACACTTCAGGTCACAGCCAGTCACTGGGGAAGTCAGGGCAGGAACCTGAGGCAGAAATTAGAAGCAATGCTGTTTGCCAGCTCACACCAAGGCTCATGCTTTGTTAGCTTTCTTACACAGCCCAGGGTTGCCTGCTAGGGAACTGTACCATCCACAATGCCCTAGGATCTCTTTTGTTAATCAGCACAGTCCTTCTACAGACATGCTTGCTGGCCAGTTTGAGCTGGGTAATCCCTTAATTGAGACTTCCTTCTTAGCTGACTCTAGGTTGGCAATTAAAGCTAACTAGGGCAGTGTCCAGAAGGAGAATTAAACAAAATCTTAGGCAAAAGATAAAACCAGAACAGTGTTCCTGACTCCAGTCTGCAATTTTTAAGGGCATAGCAGTCCCAGTGGAAACTCAGCCCATGCCCATCAAATCCACACACAAACAAACACAAGCTACTTCCAGTTAATCTGTTGGGAATTTTAGAGAATTAAAGATGAATGAATTATAAGACTAACCACAGAACAGCTTGTAGGCACAGGTGAGTGACTTGCCCCACCTCCCCCAAGGTAAGGCAAGACCCAAAGCAGCCATATGCTCACTGGTCTGTTCAGAGGAGGAAATCCCTCTAGGGAAGATTCATGGTCTTACAAATGGGTGGGGATTTATCACACCCTGGACAGGTACTCTGTAACTGAGCTGTACCCCAGCCCTGGGTGGAAAATTTTATACCCAGAGACTGAAGGGACTTGGAGGAAGGCAAACTGAGGCAGAGGTATTAAGAACAGGCTGTGGCCGAGCATGCATCCTCATCCATGCAACAAACATGTCAGGGGATACTGTGTGGCTGAGTTGTGGGAGATCTTTGGTAGCCCAGGTTGACTCAAACTTGATATGTAGCTCAGGATGGCCTTGAACACCTGACCCTCCTGCCTCTACCTCCCAAGTTCAAGGATTACAACATGCATCTAGCATGCACCTGGGCGAATGCTCAGGAGAAGTTAATGTCACCACTTTCACTAACTAGAAATGAAGGCAGTATGGCAGGCGTCCACTCTCAGGGGACAGTGCAGCAGCTAGGAAGGACATAGTAACTTGCAGACAGCTGGTCACACGAAGATCCAGATCCTGACCCGACCACTTCACCAGCTATATAATCTTGTACAAATTAGCCTTCTCCCATGTTAGTCTTTAAAAATAGTTTTATTGCATTTCTTTAGCGTGTGTGTGGGTGACACAGTGCATGTATGGATGTCAGAGGAAAACCTGTGGGAATCGACTCTCTCCTTCCAGCATGTGGGTCACATCCTGACTCAGGTCTGCAGGCTTGGCAGCAAACACCTGTACCCACTGAGACACCTAGCTGACATTTTTCTTGGGCAAAAAGCAGTCACAGTAGCAGTACCTCACCTTGGAGCTGTGTGCTTGATAATGCTGAGTCCAGAAAATTCTACTTATCAGCTGTGGGTGGTGGCAGGATATGCAGGTGGTGGGAAAAGCCACAGAACAGGCATCTGGGCATAAACGTGCAGATCCAGGGTGACTAGTAGGCTGGGATATCTCAATGAGTCGCTGGCGGAAGTTACTTACGTTCTATAGGAAATGGACTAGGAGCTGAATTTAGAAGGTGACCCATAAAAACCACCAAATCTAAAATACAAGTGGATGCTTAAAAAACTGACATATATGTGATATATATGTATATATATGTGTGTCTCAGTTCATACATCCACATATACACATATATATGGATACTTTATTGGCCTTTCAACTTTTCATAGATAGTTCAAATTAAAAAAAAAAAAAAAAAGAACTTGAGGACAAAAGTTGTCTGAGTAAAAACAGTTTGGGAACTGTGTGAACCTTTAGTCTCAGTGATCAAGAGGCAGAGATCTCTGAGTTTGAGGCCAGCCTGGTCTACACAGTGAGTTCCAGGACAGCCAGGGCTGCATAGAAAGACCCTCTCTCAAAAAAAGCAGGCTTTAGAAAAGCATGTTCCGCCTTAACAGACAGGGCATCAGAAAAGGAGGACAAGGGCTGGGGAAACCATATTTGGTTTTGGGTGGCACCGTGGCACTCAATGACTCATGGGAAGGGACCAGCAGAATGGAACAAAGCAAGCGAGGGACTTCTTGGCCTTCAGAGCTAAGGGGCGTTGCTGGGGAACAGATTGCAGAAAGGGAGGAAATGATGGTTGATGCCGTAAGGCGTGGCCTCGGGTTTCTCCTTTGGTTTCAGGGGGCGGCTTTTGAAGGATATTGGGACAAGGAAATGCTCTTCCTAGTGACAGATGCCTTGCTAGTGAGGAGACAGGGAGAAGTGGGGGACTATACCTACCACTCACTCGATCGGATCCAGGAAAGGTGACTTAAGGAAAAAGGCGCTCATGGCCTTGGGTGAGCCATGTGAGGAGACAGAGCAAAGAGCAGGGTCTCTCTGGGACTGCCCAAAGTGGGGTTCTATAGATGCTGAAGGTAGGTAGCCGGGGAGTCAGTGAAACTCAAAAATCCTTTTGGAACTTGGTGCTGGGCCAAGTTTAAACATTAGGAAAGAGTAGACCCTGGCTATAAAATCTCACCTTCCTTCCCACGCCCCTCCCCCTGCCCCGATAGGCGGATAGGCACATGGTGTGATTAGTCTTTGGTGTTTATAGAACCTTCTGGCTTTAAAAACCTCCAGCCCTAAGGCACTGCAAGGAGGTTGCTGGAGCCGAAGTCTCTTGCTATGCGGTCCATCCCATCCTGTGCATCCAATCCGGGCTCCTGGAAGAAGTCCTTGAGACGCTGCCAGGGTACATGGAGCGGCCTCGTTAGAGCAGGACCTTGGTGACCACGTGGCCGTGGACGTCCCCATCAGGGTCCTCCTTGAGCGGAGGCCGAGGGGAGGGCGGCGCCGAGACCCCCACCCCCGGGCTCTGCTCCCGCAGCCACGCGCTCAGCGCCTCGCGCTCGGCCTGTAGCTGGCGCCGCGCCTGCGCCATGGCGCGCTCCTCCTGCCGCAGAGCCCTGCGCCTGCGCTCTAGCGCGCGTTCCGCCTGCCGCAGGGCCGCCTCGCGCCGCTCCAGCTCCAGCTCCCGCCGGCTGCCGCGCACGGCCAGCGCGCCCATCTGCTCCAACAGGCGCGCCCAGTCGCCCTCGGCAGCCGCCGTGGTGGTGCCGGGCGGTGGAGGGCAGGGAGCGGCGGGCGGCGAGCTCCGAGCGCCGCTCTTCTCCAGCTCGCGCAGGTGCGCGCCGCTCAGGTGTCGCCACAGCGCCCGTGTCCAGGCCTGGAAGCCCGGGTGGCCGCCCACCTGCTCCCCGCACAGGCGACAGGTGGCCCAGGTGCCCGTCGGGTGCCCGGGCCGAGCCGGGGCCAGGTGGAAGTAGCCCCAGGCCTCGGAGTACGGCGCCCCCAGGTGGCCAGGAGCGGCGGGTGCCAGCCCGGGACAGGGGCCACCTCCCTGTCCTGAAGTGTCATCAGGCCTCCAGCTGTCTTCCATGGTCTCCAGGGTCTCCTCACTCCTCATGCCTTCTGCAGTGTCTGCATCGAAGGGAAGAGGAAGAACAGTAATCAATATATATAAATATATATATTTACACACACACACACACACACACACACACACACACACACAGATCCTATAAACGTTAGCCGAGGACATTTTACTTTGTCCTGTGTGGTACAAACCTTGTGGTATGATTTTTCCTCCTCTCCTTAATACTCAGGTAGTAAATGCCAGTGTCTAAGAAACATGTTTTAAGTGTCTAGCCCTTCTTGCACTAAGTGTTCTCTTCCGAAGAACAAGTGTCTGTCTCTATGTAACACATATATCAAGAAACTGAGCGGGGCTGGAGAGACGGCTCAGGTTAAGAGCACTGGCTGCTCTTCCAGAGGTCCTGAGTTCAGTTCCCAGCAACCACACCGTGGCTCACAACCATCTATAATGAGATCTGGTGTATAGGTATACATGGATGCAGAACACTGTATACATAATAAATACATCTTTCAAAAAAGAAGAAAGAAAGAAACCGAGCCATGGTCTGGGGAAGTTGCCCAGCGTGCACTATTCCACTGGGAGTGGCGATTACAACGATGTATTTATAAGAAAGCTGACCATACTAGAAACCACTATATGCTTTCAAAATATGCACATTTTAGGAAATAGCAAAATGTAAAGTGGAGCCCTAAACTGTTGTCTTTAAATTAAATGTTAAGCCAGGGCTTAATGATCTTGAGGTCCTGGTCATAGCCTGGAGGTTCTGAAGTAGAAACACATGCACAGGATAAGTCAAGACTTATCAGCAGGGCTTGGAGTCTGTGAGACACACAGGTCCATAAGAAGTCCAGGGGAACAGCCTTAGGTAGCAGGAGAGCATCTAGTGAGTGCCTACCTGCTGTTCACTTTCTCTTTCCTGAGCACTTTATAGATACCCAAGGCACATGATAAATAATTGGCCTGCTTTATTGCTATATATTTATAACTAAGTGGTCCCTCATCTCTATAGTTGGAAGATGGAAAGCTTGCTTGGCACCTGCAGTTAAGGGTAAGGGAAGAAAATTCACGGCATATGCTTTGTCTGCTGAAGTATCTACACAAAGGGATCTAAATGCAGAGTCACAACTGTAATGACCAGGCCTTGGATGTGTTTGTGTGCATCGGAGCATGGGGTGTAGACCAGAGGACACCTTTGTGGGATCGGTGTTTTCCTTCATCTTTCCATGCGTTCTGGGGATTGAACTTGGGTTCTCATGCTTGCACGGCAAGTGCTTTACCTGCTGAGCCATCTCACTGGCCAATGACTAAGTCTTTCCATGAGGAAGACAACTCACCCTCACAATATGCCCCCCTGCAAAAGGTGGCATCTGTTTTTTAGTGAACACATTGGAAATGGACCAAATTATGGACAAACTCTCTAATACTTAGACTCTTTGAGCTCTTCTGAGGACTTATCTCAGGAAGCATCATGTCCAAGGGAGAACGAAGCTTAGTGAACTAGCCAGTCATACTAGGGAGGAACAGCAGAGATCATAAAATTACATAATCTGTTAAATTAAAAAAAATCAGGAAAATGTAACATCTGTATATGTAGATGTTGCAGTGTGTGTGTGTGTGTGTGTGTGTGTGTGTGTGTGTGTGCACATAGTGTGTATATTTGGGTTCCCAATTTTACAAAGCAAATGGGCATAAAAGATCAGAAATGTCCTGACATAATAATAATAGTGGGTGCTTTCAATACCCAATCCCATCTCCAGACAGATCAAAGACATTTCAGAGTTAAACTATATTGAAATTATAGATATATGCAGAATATCCACCCAAAAGGCATGGGCTCTAAGTTCTTTTAAGCGTCCCACAGAACCTTCTCTAAAATAGGACTCCTTGTAGTTCTCAAAGAAAGTCTTAATAAACACAAGTCATCAGCAGAACTGTAAATCCATAGCCAGAGAAACTACAGAAACAGCATATATTTTGAAAGTACAACATTAAAAAAAAAGTGAACAGTGAATCTTGAAAAACTCAGGGAGCAAATTTCAAGCCAATATGAAAGCAGAACCTCAGGGGTGCAGCCAAGGCAGCTCCAAGAGGACAGTTTATAGCTCTGCGTGCTTACATTAAAAATCCAGGCAGGCTGCAATAAACAGGCTAATGATGTACCCTGGGGCCATATAGAAAGAACAAGTTAACTCCAAAGGAGTAGATGGCAGGAGATTATTATGACAGGGACAGAAATTAATGAAATGTAAACTAAATGAATAATCTATAAAAAATCAAAGTCAGTTCTTTGAAAAAACAAAACAACAACAACAATCTCAGAATGACCACCCTCCCTCTAGCCAATCTAACCAAATTAATGAGAGACTATCCCAGTGTGTAAAAGCAGAGATGAACAGAGAGTAAATCAGATCCTAACAAACTCTGAGATTTTTCAAAGCACTGTAGAATTCAGAAGGAACGAGTAAATTCCTAGCTGCATATGACTTACCAAGATTAAAGTCTAAAGGATGCGAACAATTTAAACAGCTTTGTAACAGGCAATGAGGTCTCCCAACAACAAAAGGTGTATTCCTTGCTGAATCCTATCAAATGTTTAAAAGAAGAAACGAATACAAATTCACCTCAAGACTGCTCCATAAAACAGGAAAAGCAACATTACTAAACTCTCTTTACAAAGTCAGCCTTCAATGTCAAGTCAGGATATGGGCACAACAAAGAAAGAAGACTATAGACCAATATCCCTGATCATAATAGGTGCTGCGGTATGCCCTGTCTGTCTTTCATTTCTTCATGGGTTCCCTGCACGTATTGAGATGATCATGTGGTTTTTGTCCTTCACCCTATTTATGCAAGCTCTTACATCTATCATCAAGAAAACCATCACCAACAAATGATGGCTGAGACATAGGAAAAAAGGAATCCTTCTCTAAGGTTGGCGGGGATGTAAATTAGTGTAGTTATGCTCATCAGTTCCTTAGAAAATTAAAGCCATAAATACTGCATGATCTATCTGTACCAGACATGGTGTCTATATGCCTGAACAATTCAAAATCAACACACCACAGAAATATTTGCACATCTATGATTATTGCTGCACTATTCCTAATAGTCAGGATTTGAAACTGGGGTTGAAGACATGTCTTAGCAGTGGAGGGCACACATTGCCCTCACAGAGAACTCACATTCAGTTCCCAGCACTCATGTTGGCAGACAACCACTTACAACTCCAGGTCCAGGGGGTGCTTGCTTATGTTCAAACATCCCCAAATACACATAATTAAAAATAGACAAATACCTTTAAGGAAGCTATTGAACCAGCTTAGATGTCTGTCAGCAGATGAATAGAGACATGGTATATACACAGAAAAGAAAGTGAAATGTCGACATTCGCAGGAAAATGGATGACATTGGAGATTGTATGTGTAGTTAATAAGCCAGACTCAGGAAGACAAATGCCATGTTTTCTTTCCCTCAGATACACAATGTAGACTTAAGTTTATATACGAATGGTATGTACCTATGTAGGCATGGGTGTAGAAAGAGAAAGGAGTCTATAGGGCTAGGAAGGAGACAAGAAAGGATGACAATACCTACGTCATAGTAGCAGAAGGTAGACCATCTAGGGGACAAAGAAGATCAGCCAGATGGGACAGGGGGACTAGAACAAGAACAAAGTGTGGGGATGTATCTACACGTGAAAATACCACAGGGAAACCCAGTTCCCTGTGCCCTGACCAAATATTAATCTAAAACATAAACAGAACATGATAATATTAGAAAGTTTAATTATCTAGCTTCATATAAATTTTTCTATGCACCCTATCTTTTGTTGTTGTTACAAACTCCATTCCCTTCTACCTTGAATCTACTCTTTCCAGGCTCCTTCTAATTACTAGACACAAACAGAAGATGGGATGGTATTATAGAGAATCTAATTTATTTCATAAATTTAAAATGAGTTGACTACTGCTCTGCCATTCTGACAGGCATGCAAGCCTGGAGATTTCTTTCTCCAGTGCCAAGGGCTCAGCGTCCCTGTTGCTTATTCACCTCTAACAAGTCCAACAGTGACCCATTACTGCCAAGCCTTTTATGTCCCTGCGAACTTAGTGCTTGGTTTTCTGTAAATTCTGAGGTGCTCAGAGTAGCACCAGCCAAATGTGCTGTCTGCTGGAAGAGTTAAGTGGACACAGCAGGAGAGTACTGGCTAGGGCTTTGTCCCTCACCTGAGCCAGGGACAAGCAACACTATAAAATGTGGGCCAGCACAGTGCTGCCCCTCCAAGTTGGTGGAGGGACATCCTTTGCCTGGCCAGCCCTTTACTCTCGGAGGTCTTAACCAATGGAAGGCAGCATGGTATGGAACTGCCCCACCTTCTCAGTCCTCCATGCTGGGCTTCACTCTGGCTCATGTGATGACTTTATGTCCAGGGTGGAACCCCAGACCTAACATCTGTCCAGCCCTTGAATACAGCCCAAGTTCATCTCAGTTTCACTTGGGATACTGCAGGAAGCCCAGGCTCATCCATCTACCTTAGGAACTCCTCACCGCAACAGAGCACACCAAGAGTTCTTACCGGGGGTGGGGGAGAGACTTCAACGGGCAAATGATCCAATATGAAACCAGGCAAGAAACACGAGGAGGCAAATGACTTCAGGGCCAATTCAAATGTCAATTCTGTTCAGGGAAATGCTTTGAGGGCAAGAGCAAAGTGTTATTTTACATCTGCTACCCTAACATCCAAAGACAGGCAGGTACAACCAACCATCAAAGTCAGGAAGGAGGCAGGAGGCAGAAAGCAGGGCACATCCACTTTCCTGCTGACATCGGAGCGCTTTGAGGAAGGACATCTGGAAGTTACTACATTAGTTAAAAATAGATGTGATATCTCTTCTGTAGAACTAAAGGTACCAATACACGAAGTCAGATGTGCTAGAATGTTTATTTCATCATTGTTTAGAATAGGAACTATAGCTGAGTATACAATGTCTGTTTGCAATAGGGAATATTATGCAAACATTCAAGGGATGGAGAA